ACACAGGGCTCGCCATCTTAGCTGATGAGGCTGTCTACCTTGCCTGGAGGATTCCCTTCTCTCTGTCTCCCCAGCTGGGATGGTAGGCAGGATGTCACAAACCACCCAGATTAGCGTGGGCTCTGAGGATCCAAACTCTGCTTAGCCTGCTTCTATGGCAGGAGCTTGAACCTGCTAAGCCATCTTCCCAGATCCTATCTTAGGTTCTGGTACTAGAAATTCTAAGTTGGAGAGGTTGAAAAGGGGTCATGACCCTTGACTTTGATTAGCTCTCCAGGCTACTCAGATGCTAACCCAGAGTTAGCTTGGATCACAGTTTGAGAAACGGTGCTCGTACCCAGCACCCCGGGTGTACAGCTGGCAGAGTACCTGAGGGAGGTGGATGCCCTCCCAGGCCACGCAGTGCTCCTCTGTGGATGTGGTCTCTGCAAACAGCTCCAGTAAAGTGTAGCGGCTGTCAAAATCCATGTGCTGCTCGATGCCGTCGTGCTGGCTCAGCGACAGAAGGACGTGAGCCCGGCTCCCTGCAAGCCATACCGGGTCCAGATCTCCTCCTCATTCTACAACACTGTCCCCTGCCTATCCTAGGCCGTCTCCTTCTCTGGAGGCTGTACACTTCTCTGGGACCGAGACCCAAAGCAAGAAATATACTTTACACGCACTCTAGCACAAACACGTACACACACGGAACTGAAACATAAACTACTAAACTTTAGAGGGAGAATTCTGGAATTTTGGTTTCTTTAAGAGACACAGAAATATTATAAGAATATGTTTTCGTTTTAATCTCAGGTGTGGCATATGGGGCTGCTTCATAGCTGCTGAATACGATGTGCCTCGGGCTCTAGCAGAAGTGTGGTTTTGCCAGCTGCTGATAGTTTCTGTGACTGTGCGGCATTAGGAATTCGGGGAGCTTTTCAGAGGGTATATGAATGCTAGGCCCTTGATAGGTGGGGTGGGGGGTGTTGGTCATTCTGGGGGGTTAGCTGCAGTTTGTTAGTCGTTTCTGCTCAAAGAAGAAACAAGAGGTTAGACTCAGAGATCTCTTCCTCTGGCCCCCATCTTTCTTATCTAGTGATAGAGGGTGAAACTGGGGTGAGGATAAAGGGTAGGGAAAGAGAAGAACCCACAAAGTAGCAAAAGTCTGGCTGCAAAATTTACAATTACATATATATATATATATATATATATATATATATATATATATATGTTTTGTTTTGATTACTTTCTCAAGACAGGTTCTCACTATGTAGACTACACTGGCTTTGAACTCACTGAGATCTCCCAAGTGCTAGGATTAAAGGCATGCAACTGTGTGTGGATAATTTGTTTTTAAAGTTGACTATAACCCTCCCCATACTAATTTCACAACCAAAAAAATACATCTCAAGCATTCAACCGATGCAAATCTCCCCGCTTTATTCTCTGCCATACATGGAGAGGGACAGACAAACCCTGAGCCTTTTGTTCTGTTCGTACCAGGAATAACCCATTCATCTACGTTTCTTTTACCTTGAGTTGCTACTGATTAAGTAACGGTTGGGAACTCTGCTATTTCCTTTCTCACGCCTTGCGCCCCGTTCTCTCCACTGCTCCCCTCCCCCCCTCCTCTTACCAGCATCATGGGCTGCCAGAGCCTGTAGCATCTTGCCTGCACTCCGACGGATCTGAGGCTCCGGATCGCACAGCATGTGCATGAGCAGATCCAGGGCTCCCGTCTCCCTGAAGACTCCGGTGAGAGGCCCGATGCTGGCATAGGCACTGAGCACGTGGATGGTGTGAAGCACGGCGGCCGTCAGGCTGGAGGTCCCGCCCTCTGCCAGCTGCCTGGCAGCCCTGCGCACCAGCGCCCGCACGTCAGCCTCCATCTCTGCCATTGCCAATTCATCCAGGCCTCCAGGGTCTCGTGGGAAGCTGCCCACCTCTCCAGTGGGTCCGTGCTGCGGGCCTTTCGATAGTGATCGCTCCCGCAGTAGCGCGGGGCAGTTGGCGTAGACCTCTGGGGCTGACAGCCACATGAGGAGGTGCTCTGTCTTCTCTTCGTCTAAGCTCACTTTGCCCTCTTCGCTGCACTTAAGGACGCTCCAGCGGACCAGGTATTCAGGATGGCCGTCATGCCCAGACCTCTGTCGAATGAGTTCTTCAGGGTACGCCTGCAGCCGAGGTCCCAAGGGTACCATAAGGTCCCCTGCTCGCCGTTCCCCTACCATCCTGATCTCCTGGGATACACAAGGAGACAGACAGGTAGGCAGCATGTGAAAGACGAACCAACTCCACGGAGTGTGGTAGTATCTTGCTGCCTAAGTGAGGTGGGTGGTAATGCGTGGGCTGAAGTGCGGGATTTAGAGCATAATAAAAGACAGGATAGGATGGAGTAAACGAGTATTTTATTTATATAACATATATATTATATAAGAAAAGAACAGCATTAACGGAGAACGGAGCAGGGAGATGGAATGAAAGCATTTCAGGAAGGGAGGGGGGGCTGGGCCACAGCGCGAAAGCAAAGCACTTGGCTAATACGTGAGAGGCCCTGAGTGCAATCCTTAGCACTGTCTGTGTGTGTGTGTGTGCGTGCGTGCGTGCGTGTATGTAAGCTGGTCTTTGCTACTTTGTGGGTTCTTCTCTTTCCTACCCTTTATCCAGAGGCCCCCCCTTTTCACCCCCAACACTAACTAGATAGGAGAGAAACAAGGATAGATGGGAAAAAGATCCCTGAGTCTAATTTCTTTCCTTTTGTTTCTTCTTTGACCTGGGGCTACTAACAAACCACAACCAACCTCCTTAACTGGCCGACAGCCACCTGAGGCGCCTTTCAGAACCCTAGTGCTTATGTACTCTGCACACAATCACAGAAATTATCTGAAGCTGGCAAAACCATGCTTCTGCTACAGCATGGGGCAAATCATAGCTGCTGCAGACAGTCCAAAGCAGCCCCACATCCCCATACCTGGGATTAAAACAAAAGCACACTCTTATAATATATTTCTGTTTTTTTAAAGAAACCCAAATTCCAGAATTCTCAAAAATGTCACTACAGGTGAGGGGGCACTAAAGAGATGATCAGGGGTTAAGAAAGAGCATTTGTTGCTCTACAAGATAACCAAGGGTCAGTACTTAGCACTCACAAGGCAGCTCAAGACTCTAATTGTGAGGATCTGACGCCCTCTTCTGACCTCCAAGGGCATTGCTCATACACACAGGCAAACCACTCATGCACATAAAATAATTATTTTTTATTTAAAAATAAAATATATGTATGTATTTTGTCTGTGCAGCTCTTGCATGCCTGGTGCCCTTGGAGGGACCTGGAACTCGAGTCAGAGATGGTTTTCAGCACTATATGGGTGCTGGGAATTGAACCCAGGGCTTCCTGGATGCTAGGCAAATACTCTACCATCTGAGCTACACCTTCAGTTCCATAAATCACCCTTTAAAAAGAGGCTATGAATTTAAGCCTGGTGTGCTAGCACATCCTATAATCTTGATATTCAGGAGACTGAGGCAAAAGAATCACAAATTCTGAGGCTAAGCTGGGCTACATACACAGAAAGTTCCTGGCCAAGTCCAACTACACAGTAAGACTGTTTTTTAAAAAAACAAACAAGCAGAAACAAACAAAACTGAACATCGTCAAGCACAGAAATGCTCGGTAAACAATGTATTACAACATAATCTAATACTATCCTTAGATGGGGACAGTAGGTTGCAGGCATCAGATAAGAAAGATTATGAAAGCAGAATATTAATGAAAATAAAACGATCGGGGAAAGGTACGAGAGATCTGAAACAGTGCAATGGAGAGAGTAAAGATAGAAGGCGTACTTAGATAAAGGAACCGAACCGGTGATCAGAAAGAGGAGGGCCGGAGTCATGTTAGGGTACACGGATAGAAGATAAGCAGAAGAAAGGAGGAGTCAAATACGATGAGAGCCTCCATGGGGATGGGATTCACTTAGCATGGAAGGAAGGCGAGGAGATAGCCATTGATGCCATTATAGCTGTTGGCTAACTTGGGGCCCCTAGGCCTGGGGGCGGGGACGGCATAGGGAGGGCCTAGACCAGAAGCTGTAAACGGAGGTGTGAAGGTGACGCCTGGCTGCGGGGACTGAGAACAGAAAGCAGCACGATCCTGTCCGTGCTGAACTCCAGAGGGCCCGGGGAGCCGGCCCAACACCACGCGGGGAATGGCCTGGGGGGCGGGGTGAGGATGGCGGGGCGCGGTCGCTAGCTGACAGGACCTGCTTCCCCGCCCGACTTCCCCCCTCCAGCCCGGGAGGAACGGATGAGGGACTTGGAGGGGGTTGGGGAAAGGGGAAGGGATGGCTAGGCGCAGAGCTCTCTTCTCACCTCTCACCGCCCGGCTGGACCCTCGCTGTCACCCAGCAGCGGGTGCCGAAGCTCGGCCCGCCTCCTCCACAGCTCCTTTCCGGGTCACACGCCGGGCGCACGCACAGCCCAGGCGACTACGGGTCCTACGGTGGCCCACTGCGAGCGTGGCAAAGCGACGCGTGAGTGGAGCATGCGTAGTAGCCGCGGGAGTCCGCAAGCAGTCCTGTCCAGGTAGTCCGGTGTGAAGCACGCTGCGTTCCAACGGGTTCACCTTCCTCTCCCACCTACCACAGCACCCTGTGTGTGTGTGTGTGTGTGTGTGTGTGTGTGTGTGTGTGTGTGTGTGTGTGT